CCGCCTGAATATGACGAACCGGTTTCCTATTTCCCGTAGGATAACGGAGTTTTGTGAAATCAAGAGCAGGTGGCTCCCGCTTCTTGGATTTAGGATGAGGAGTCGCCTCTCGCCCTTGAACTGGCTTCCTCTTCAGTGAAGTGGAAGGTTTCTTGGCCGACTGCTCTTTGACTGAAGCAGGCGGTTTTTTGTTGATCAACTCTTGAATCTCTCCCTTGAAGTCCCTCATGAAGGTCATGAGTTCGTTCCTTGTGATGGGAGCAGACCCATCAGTCGGCTGTTGCCGAGCAGGCGGTGCGCCTGCTGGCTCGCTTCCTGTTTGAAGATGCTCCCGTTCCCTCCTTTCGGTATGACGGGTACGTCGGGCCCTTAGGGTCCCGTCTGGAGCTGTATGAGTTTCAACTTCAAATTCACTTTCGGTATCATGGTCCGACTGAACTTGAGGGTCGTCTAGGGGACGCCTCTCTTCCGGAGTCGGTACAGACTTGGATGCCATCTCTGAAGTACTCTCCCCACAGACGGCGCCAAATGTTTCGGGGTTTTCTGATGTCCTGCGGGAGAGTTACAATTCCGAGACTGGAACCGGACGCCTGTACCTGCAAAATAACGGAGACTCCTGAGAGCTCCGCCTCCAACGGTCAAGTTAGTACCTGATTAAGGAGTAATTAATACGGAAATTAAAGTAATAAGATCTCTCTAGGTGAGAATGCTTAGTGTTGGTAATCTGCGTCGTTAGCGAGATTAGCCGGTTGTTGGTGTTCCGTAATATCTCTGTTCTTCTCTGCTTGATTTCTTTATTTTTCGATTACCTAACTAATGAGAATTAATTAAGTATTTATAGCCTTGAGAAGCGTGCAACTCTCTAGGTTTAAGGTAAACCTAGGGCTGATCGGGCCTCTAGACTGGATTGGGCCTTGATGGCCGGTTTTCCCATTTGGCATGGGTGGACACGTGGCGTGCCTTGATTGGTCCGTAGAGGACGTATCTGTGATTGACACGTGGCAGGCTCCTATTGGCCTTCGTGAAGGACCCGTGGCGGAACCTGGTTGGTCCACTTGTCAGACGGTGATTGGTGGATAAAAATCCCCTAATCAATATATATATATATATATACTTCCTCTGTTCTTTTTTACTTGACATGTTTCTTTTATCACGCTTGATAATGCAAAACTTTAACGATCAATAACTTAAATTCTCCATAAGTATAAATTATAAAAGCTATATATTATGATAGTACTTATTGAGACGAATCCAAAAAGATCATACATGAGTATATTTTTCCTTACATATTATTCACGAAAGACGGTCAAAAGAGGGATGATGAATAGTGTAAAAGTCAAAGCGAGTCAAGTAATATAGAACGGAGGAAGTATATAACTGAATTTCAGTTATAAATAAACATGAACATATAATGTTGTTCCTTATTCATCAATATTTTTTTAACCCTCAAGTGAAATACCTTGATTCGTTCGATTCTCTTGAATAAATGTCTTGCAATTACTGAACTATACGATATAATACCAATTAAACAAATCAACAATATATTTTTTAATAATGAGCAAAATGCCAATGTCAATATTATTATTACTTATGTTAATTGAACATCCTTTACTATAAAAACGAACATTTTATACAACTGAACAAACACAACAATTGTATTTATTAAAAAAGAAAATGAACATTTATTTTATACGATTAAACATCATACGACATGAAAAAAAATTATTAAATAAGAATGAACATCATAATGCATGAAAATGAACACCTAGGACATCTTCACATTTACTTAATTTCAGTTTTGTTCAGTTCAGCTCTAATTAGTTCAGTTCATTTCTAATCAGTTCAGCTCCTAATTTTCCTCTCTCATAAAATATTCATTTCAATTTAGTTCAGTTCAGTTCAATTCAGCTCCAACCAGTTTAGTTTAGTTTAGTTCAGCTCAGTTCAGTAAATGTGAACAGACTCTTAGTTATTAAGAAATACAAAATTAGCTAGAAAATGTTAATTTTTGTTATAATAAAAGTTAAAAAAGTGAGGGATCAGCTACAGTTGGTCTCGTGTCCAGCTATTAGAGCAACTACAATGGTTGTTGGCTAATTTATTTAATAGCTTGGCATGCCACATCAACTTCTTAAGCTACAACAATTCAAGCTATTTGTTGCTCCAATGGTTAAGCTAGTTGTAAATTAATTTATTTTCAAATTAACAATATTTTGTATCTAATAAATATTTGCCAAGCTAATTAGCTCTACAAAGCTAATTTGCTTGCCAAAGCTAATCAACAAGATGTGCAACAATGGTGTAGCTACTAGCTTAAGATTTTTAATATTTGCAAGCTACTCCCTTTTTCCAACCATTGGAGTTGCTCTTAGCAACTGTTTTTTTTAGGCCTAACTTGCATATTGAGTCTATGATCTGGCCGAAGACTTCATGATCAAAAAGCAAAAACTCCGTAAAAGGAATCAAGTAGAGGGCTTTTGGACTAAAAGCTTTAAATTTTTCTTTAATTAGACTGGGCTTGAATTCTAAGCCCAAAATTGTTGCACAATGGGCCAAGCTATGTTTGATTGGCAATTAGTATTATGTGCACCATGGTGCACCTAGAAATAGATGCACCACAAATATACTTTTGAACATTTAATAAAAAAAATTGAACATTTTGCAAAAAATGAATATTTATTGAACATAAACATGCAATTTTTATGTTCATATTTTATAAAGAAATGTTCATTTTGGATACATTAAATGTTCAGTTTAGATTACAAAACTATTGAATTATTACGAGTTAGTTCAAAATTTGTCTGACTCGTAATAATTCAAAATTTGCGATTGTTCAGATTTTTTTTACTATATGTTCAAAATTTATTATTGTTCATATTTTTTTACTAAAAGTTCAAAATTATAGGTGTGCTACATTGCGATTGTTCAGATTTTTTTTACTAAGTGTTCAAAAATGGCGTTGTTCAGATTTTTTAACTAAATGTTCAAAATTCTCGATTGTTCAGATTTTTTTACTAAATGTTCAAAAGTATAGGCATGATGCATTGCAATTGTTCAGATTTTTTAACTAAATGTTCAAAATTTGCGATGTTCAGATGTTTCTACTACATGTTCAAAATTTGCAATTGTTCAGATTTTTTTTACTAATTGTTCAAAAGTATAGGCGTGGTGCACCTATTTCTAGGTGTACCATGGTGCATCTTAAAACTTGCCTTTAATTGGCATTCATAGTAATCTTCAAATTTTTGCCTACATCGTTATGCAGACAACGCTAACATCCACTTCTCTCTTATAATAATATCATTTTGTTGTTTTCGATTTCAAGTTGATTATAATATGTTTATTTTGATACCAGTAAATGTTCAATTTCATATCCTTAAATATTAATTAGTTTAACAAAAAGCTTAAACTTATACCATTATTTGGTTGATAATACCAACTTTTGTGCTAGAATTAGTTTAAACCATAATTGGTTTTTCAAAGCCAAAAAAAAGGGACAAAATATTTTTGATTTACATTCTTCGATTTCGAAAGGTAAATAAGTAGGGCTGAGCAAAACTACCCGAAAAATCAAAAACTTGAAAAATCAATCCGTAACCGTTCCAAAAATTAGGGTACCCGATCCAATAACCATAACTGTTCGGGTACCCGTTCCGATAATTTGTTATCGGGTATGGTTATGGGTATCATTTTAAAATTAACGATTACTCGATCCGATCCAATAAGCATTTTTTTTTTGCTTTTTTTCCCTACTTAAATCTATTAATATAAATCTAAACTTTTACTTTACTTCATAATCACTTTAAAATGTCAATTAGTAATATTATTTATAATTTGGTCAAGATCATATGATATTGTTTTTAATTAGTTGTAAATTATATCATAATATCTACATAATTAAGTTTAATTATCATTATTGGATATTTTATTGGGTACCCGATAACCGATCCGAAAATCCGGGTACCCGAACTAATCAGTTTCGGTTACGGGTATCACTTTTAGTGATTTTAGTTATCGGGTACCCGAACCGTTAGTACTAACGGTACGGGTACCTGTCCCATGCTCACCCCTATTAATAACTACACAATTATTTTTATTTCACATTTTTTTTTGTTCATAAACATGAATTAGAAATAAATTTATGTTCGAACACATTTATAAAGTCAATAGACCACAACCTAATTACACATATGAGAATCGCAAGGTTTGAGAACTTGTTGTAATCATGTGCTGTAAACTGTAATGGACTCAAAATTGTTATATACACTCGGATCGACTGTGCACCCAATTTGTTATTTATTTATTTAATTAATTAAAGGATAATCTATCCATAGTCAGTATTTAAAAAAGCAAACCAAAAAAGACATATGTCATCATTCTATTACACTTCCCTATCATCTTATTCGACTCAATGTGCCACATGTCGTTTTATATTTTATATTTTTAATTATACAATTTTTCTTAACTTTTTATTAAACACTTTATCTTCATCTCCCCTATTTAATTCAACCTTTTTATTTTCTCTCTTTGATTTTAGTCTCTCCATCTTCTTTCTATTAAGTCTCATTTTAAATTAAAGTCCCAAAATATTTATTTCTTTAATTATGTTTTCAGTTACATATTACACTCATAATTATTTATGGGTATTCCACGGCCCAGAAGGCTAGTTATTACTCAGTTAACCATCAACTAATTTAACACACAAAAAAAAAAAAAAAAAAAAAAAAAAAAAAAAAAAAAAACCCTTTCTGACCCATTTCTTATCAATTTCATCTTGTCTAGTAAATAAGGCTCATCCAATTCTCATTCATCAATCCGCATTATTTATCTCAATAAAGTCGAACTCAACAGCCCAAAAATAAACAAAATACAAACCAATCCCCAACCCTAAAAAATATAAGAATAAAAAAGCCCAAAACTCTCAAAACTCAGTCTTACTCTCTCACACTCCACTAAACAAAACCCTAATTCCAACCTTGATATATAAACCCACAATCTCCCCTCCATTTCCCTCTTATCGCCCCCTTTTTCTCTCAAACCCTAAACTCCCTTACCTCTCACTTTCCCCCAAAACCCTAACAATGGCAGAAAGAGGCGGAGAACAAGGCGGATTCAGCCGCGGATTCGGCGGACGCGGCGGTCCTCCTCGCGGCGACCGTGGTCGAGGTGGTCGCCGTCGCGCCGGCCGTCGTGACGAGGAAGAGAAATGGGTTCCCGTCACCAAACTCGGTCGTCTCGTGAAAGACAAACGCATCACATCCCTTGAACAAATCTACCTCCATTCTCTTCCCATCAAGGAGCACCAAATAGTCGACGAACTCCTCGGAAGCTTGAAGGATGAGGTGATGAAGATCATGCCGGTTCAGAAGCAGACTCGGGCCGGGCAGAGGACCCGGTTCAAGGCCTTTGTTGTGGTCGGAGATGGAAACGGTCATGTTGGGCTTGGAGTCAAGTGTTCGAAGGAAGTTGCGACGGCTATTCGTGGTGCGATTATATTGGCTAAGCTGAGTGTGATACCGGTGAGAAGAGGTTTCTGGGGGAATAAGATTGGGAAACCACATACGGTACCGTGTAAGGTTACCGGTAAATGTGGGTCGGTTACTGTTAGGATGGTTCCTGCTCCTCGTGGTGCTGGGATTGTTGCTGCTAGGGTTCCTAAGAAGGTTCTTCAATTTGCTGGGATTGAAGATGTTTTTACTTCTTCTCGTGGATCTACCAAGACTCTTGGTAACTTTGTTAAGGTATAATTTCATTGCTTTTTTCTTTTTTTCTCTTAATTTGATTAATTTCTTATTTTTGGATAATTATTATTAGATATGTAATTGCAATTGTGATTTGATTATTTGTTGATGTTTAATTATTTGATTTTGATTTTTTTTTTAATTTTAAAAGATTTATAATTGATCTGTGAAGTATGATTGTATTTGAAATGATTTATAATATGATTTGTGAATTGTAGTTTGCAATAAGTTTGATCTTTGGTTAGGTTTTTTTTATCAACATTTTGTTTGAAATTGATCAAATTGTGTTGTATTTTTGGTAGGTGAAAGTGATCGAATTTGCCAAAAAGCTGAATTTTATTGTTAAGTTCATTTTTTTGGTACATTGTTAAAGGAATGTAGCAATGATAACTATGTTTATTGTGTATTGTGTTTTTCCAACAATGTTATTTTTATTTATTTAGTTAAGTTTTTAGATTACTTGTTGGATTGTTAGTATTCTTTTGCAGTCATTTGTCTTATAAAATTTAATCTGAATACAATATTTTCTTGTCTATTTGTTGTCATTGTTTGTGATATTTCATTAGGGATTGTGATTCATTTGTTTGTGGTTTATGCATTATAAAATCATGGTATTGGACTGAAATTGTAGTGGACCATCTGAGGCACTAATATGCAATTTTTCTCATAAACTAGTCTGAGGTGTATATGTTTAATGGGTTTGAACTATTCTTGATTGCTTGTATGGAGCAGGGTAAGTTTTGGATGCAATGAAATTCTTAACCGCATGCTAAATACTCTTCTCATTGTTTAAGATGATCCCTTTATATATGATGCATTTTGATACCATTTGTTGAGTCCTGTTGCGATTTTAGTAAATTATGGTTTCTGTGACTGTTGAGTTGTATCAGTATGATGTATAGCGCTAAAATTTCCATCTTGTATCTTGTTATCATCTTCCAATGCTGTTTTTGTTTGGAGTAATACATGTTTGTAAGTCTGTAATGCCCTATACTCTGTCAAAAGCTTAACGTGTTATGCTTTTGCAGGCCACCTTCGACTGTCTGTTGAAGACCTACAGTTTCCTCACCCCCGATCTATGGAAAGAGACTCGCTTCACCAAGTCTCCATTCCAGGAGCACACTGATTTCCTCTCAAAGCCAACTGCCAAGATCTCCTTAATTGAAGATGAGAGGGTTGAAGCCTAAGCTTTTCCTAGATGAGCAAACAAACTTTTTTTTAGGTGAATTCGAGTTAATAGGTTTTATTAATGATGTTTTTGGTTGCTTAATGTCATGTCCAAATTGCTAGAAAGACACCAACTCATCTTGCAGTTTTGTTTCTGTGCTGGATTTGTACTCTTTTTGAGGTTTATATAAGTGCTACTCTTCTAAGCTTTTTAATGGTGAACAAGTATTGATATTATTGATTTATTGTCTTTGATGTTGATAAAGGTCCTATAACTTTGCTCCGGAGATGTCAACAAAACCAAATCTTTTTAGCTGCATGTTTAGGTCTTTTTTAAATCAAATGAAGCTAAGGAGGGTGTTTATTTTATTGATCGTGGCATCAGATTTGGTGCAAGTGTTGGTTTGTGCTTGTAGTCTGGGCTTCAGCAAGGTTTAGAGGATTTTATTCTTGCATCTCGTAGACCGAGTAATTGGCAAAATCAGAAGTACTTGAATTAAAATAGATCAAAGCCTATTTTTGGAGAGGGAAAAGATGACTGTAAAGAACTAAAGAAGGATATTGAGAAACTGGTAATCTGGTATTGCAATGTGAACACAAGAGCCATCCTTGTTATTATACAACGGTCATGGTTCATAACTACATACACCCTATCATGTAAGACTGACCATTAACTCATGAAGTCACAATTAATACAGGTGACCAGATAGTTTTAGACACTTTGTACTAATTCCTTGAAACTGCATTCTCACTCATTTGATGGGTCACCACAACCTTGCTTCATCTTCCCCAATGTAAACAAGGTTTATTGTCCTCTCTAATGAAACCCAACTGCCATCATCGATCTTCTTGTCACTACCGATCTTTGTGGACAATGCACTAAATTTTACCCTATAGGTTTTCGTTTAATTTGGTGAGGTTGTTGGTGGAGGGTAAGGAGGAAGGTTAGCTTCAATGGTGGAGGAAGGTTAGCTTCAACGGTGTTAGTGGAATGTCCATCTTAGCAACATAGTACAACTAAGCAGCAAACGTGAGCACCATCAATCTGATGTGTATGGTGCCAATGTCCCTTTTATCTACCTAATTTCAGATAAACAAAAAATGTTTAAATGTTTAGCATTAAGGTAAAATAGAAATAACATCACAAGTTTAATCGCGTCACTTCTTGCAGCTTAGTCTTTGTAATACTGAAACAAAAAGCAGAAAATCTGGAAGTAGACACTGGCAAACTGCATCGCAGAAATAGACTTTTTTTACAGCAGAAATCTCATTATAATTCAACCAAATCACAATGCATATAGGAAAATTCATAAACAAGAAAACAGGCTATGAAGTAAGAGGACATAATACAGAGCAGACTTCATTTACAGCTAGAAAATTTCGAGCACTTGTATAGTATAATTCACACTAAATTCCAATCTGACCGTTCAACGTACATTTCAACTTTGTAAAAAAAAAAAGAATTGATGAAGTCAAACTTCTTTCAGATATCAGTACAAAATTAATCAGTGGACTGTGTTTCTCCAGTCCTAAAGGGACACCCAAGAACAGAATAAATCACTAAATTAACAATTTTACATCTACTCAGGCAGACTTGACCAGATCAACATCAAGATAATGAAAGAAAGAAAGAGCCTTTTCAAGCCCTTGAAGTGCCACCATGTTCCTTCTCAACATGCTCAACAAGGGCAACAGGATCAGTAAATCCTCTGCTGCATTTAGGGCATGCATCAATTGTTGACTTCCTAACACCCATGCGATTATTACTTTTTTCATGCGCTTTCTGCACATGCTCCACAAGTGCAGTAACTGATGAAAACCTCGCGTTACACTGTGGGCACACTTCCTGTCCACCTGATCCACCACTATTTGAGCTACTTTTACTACCTTGGCCTACCTGAAGTACCTGGTTAAAATCATTACTCAACTTTGCCATGCCTGTTTCAGCTGCATTAACAAATCGAGACCATACTGATGAGGTTGATTGGACTGGAGCCTTAGGCCGTGGCACTTCTTTTCTACTACTGCTGGTCAAGAGACCCATGAATGGGAATCCAGTGTTGGATTTGGGGGGCCCAGGACACTTATGGTCTGGCCCAAATCGATGTTTTAAGCAGTGATCTGTGCTGCAATCCTTGCATTTGACAGTATTGGAGAACACGAGGATTTCCTTACAACCAACAACAGGGCATTTCCTCTTCTTAGTTACTTTCTCGTAATTTTTTGGGTCACAGATGGTGTTAACATGAGATTCCCAAGTAATATTTGGATCTTCGTCAGGTTTCAGGCGAACTCCTTTGGCACAAAGTGGGCAAATGACAACAGTTACACCTTGGTTGTCACCATGTGGACATCGGTGCTGCTTATAGCTTCTATGCTGAAGGCAATATACCTGAGAATATGATCAAAATAATAAAGATAATTGTAGTGAGTATCAATGACAAATAAATGAGTGTAGACACCAAGTTCCTGATAAACAATGACAAATCATATGATGAAATCAACTGAAACATAAATTTTACAGTCCGTGCTTAAGCGGATTATGCACCATTCCAAATAATTGGTCCCAAAAGCATAATATTTCCGCAGAAATTAGAGCATCAACAAACTTGAATATGCATAAAGGAATAGGCGCAAATTCAGTTAGTTGATCCCTGATGCACAAGCAGCGAGTAATATGGAAATTCAAGTAGGAAACAAGTTGTATCACAAGATTCAAAACATAAGACCAAACAGTTATTCCATGCCCAGAAGGCCATGAAATTGAATCTAGATCTTAGGAAAGCAGCAACTCCAGCTCCAACGAACGAGTTGGCATAATGGAGTAAGCATAATAGCAACAAGTCAAACATATTATTGAGTTATGCAATACCACAAATCCTTCAAACATTTCATTTCTGGCTAAACAAAGAGCACAAACGTACATATTCACTTCCTCGTGAACGTAAAGGCTACGGGTGAAAGGTGAAACCTAGAAAATGGAGGGCCATTCAGGAGTAATTCTTAATTTTACCGGCTACATGCATGCCACAGGCATACAACTTATACATTATAGCATTGGGCATATGAATGTCAGATGTGTTATTTGTTAAAAACCGTCCAGATACGAGCTTTAAATATTGACCAATCTAAGGGAAGGAAGCTGAGAACCAACTTGGTTCCAGTTGGGGTTTAGAGAACAGACCAGCCTTAAAGCCTTCAACTATCCTACAGGTTACAGGACAGAGAACAAAAGTTTCACAACCTATCTGCAGATCTATCCATTTAGCATAACAATGTCATACCAAAGCAGCTAATCAAGGCTTTGTAACAAGAGGCAGGTACCACTCGGAATTGAGACAAGTAGGGCCACGGCAACCACATCACCAGTTAAATGCAAAGAGGCTATTTACGCACAACTGTTGTAGGAAATTCAACAAACTGTCTTACAACTTCACATAATTTAGTATCAGCCCAATAAATATTTCATTCATTCTGGTTCAAAGTCATATATTGCTTGCAAGGGCACATAGAAGGTACATATAATATGGCGCAATTTGTTAGCTCGTATCCACTGTCCCAAATAAATATGAAATTCAAGCAGCAAGATAATTCTTCACAACCCTAACAGCTCCTCTATTTTAAGCTAGTAATTTGAAAAAGGTCATTGAAATTTCTGAGCAATTTGGCATAAAAATGTCCTTTAACAATATCCACAGAATACATATCTAGTTCCGCGACATCAAAATTAGTGTTTTACTCCATTAGTTACCACAATGTACCCCAATATACATTTCGAATAATCAGAAAATCCCATGATTTCCATAACCATATACAAAACGGGCTATTATTCTACATGTCCATAGTTCCTAGCTGGTTTCATAGCCAGCACCCAGCATATCTCTCATAAAGATTAATAGGCCTTCCAAATCCCCAAATTAACTTCAGCATTCAGCTAATTACCATGAATAATTCGAAGATCGAACAATTAATCCCCAACTAAATAAGTTTAGTATAAAAAATATACCCAATTCAATATATTAAGTATAAAAAATATACCCAATTCAATAAATTTAGTATAACAAATATACCCAATTCAATAAATTTAGTATAACAAATATACCCAATTCAATATATTAAGTATAAAAAATATACCCAATTCAATAAATTTAGTATAACAAATATACCCAATTCAATATATTAAGTATAAAAAATATACCCAATTCAATAAATTTAGTATAACAAAAATACCCAATTCAATAAATTTAGTATTAAAAAAATATACCCAATTCAAAAGTTGCACTAAATCCCTCTGCCCCAACTTCAATAGTGTGTTTTCTAATGATTCAATTCTGTGATTTCCTAATACATTATCAAAAATTCAATCTTGAAGATATCCTATAAACAATTTTAAATGATGTATAAGCTGAGGCAGGGATACCCGAGACCTCGGATCAAATCCCATCTACATCACAATGAAATTAATTCACCCAATAAACAATTCAAATAAACCGCATTTAATTTAAATTTATAAGATTAAAATACAGAAAGAGAGAAAGTAGGCACCTGGTCGCAGCGGTCGCAGGTAAAAGGGAGGAAATCAATCTGTTTACAATCATCAACGGAGCAATGTTTACCCAGATTTGGGAATGCCGGAGTTCCCATTTTTTGTGAAACTTTTTTCTTAATTACTTTGTTAAATTTGGACAAGAAAATGAAGGAATTGGAAATTGAATGTTTGGATTTAAAAGGTTTTTTTATTGGAACTTATGAAGTAGAAGAGATGAAGTCGGCGGAAATCGGGAGTCAGTTAACTCCGGCGTGAATTCCTGGATTCCGCGTGAAGACGGAGAGGAATTAGAAAGAGGAGAGATGAAAAGTCTTGATTTAACTGCTAAACAAGAACAAGTCAACCCTTTTTTTTTTTAGATTACCTTTTGGTGTCGAGCACCTAACATTCTAACGAGACTACACTCCCCTTGTCCCATTATTAAACAGGAAGTTTAGGGCTTGTTTGACATTGTTTTTTTGTTTTGAGTTTTCAATTTAAAAAAAAAAAAAAAAAAAAAAAAAGGTGTTTTACTTTTCGGTTGTCAGTTTTCAAAATTAGCCATTTTTTTAATAAGTTTGACTAATTTTTTTAGGGAAATTCTCAATGGTAATGCTAAACTTTTTAGTTTTCTTAGTGGTAAATTGCAAAAATTCTTATTATCCTTGGTAAACTTTAAGTTGTTATTGTTTCGGGGTTTTCTGATGTCCTGCGGGAGAGTTACAATTCCGAGACTGGAACCGGACGCCTGTACCTGCAAAATAACGGAGACTCCTGAGAGCTCCGCCTCCAACGGTCAAGTTAGTACCTGATTAAGGAGTAATTAATACGGAAATTAAAGTAATAAGACCTCTCTAGGTGAGAGTGTTTAATGTTGGTAATCTGCTTTGTTAGCGAGATTAGCCGGTTATTAGTGTTCCGTAATGTTTCTGTTCTTCTCTGTTCTTCAGGTGAGATTAATTGCTTGATCAATTGCCTCTCAATTGCTTGATCCCTTTTAATGAGGATTAATTAAGTATTTATAGTCTTGAGAAGCGTGCCACTCTCTAGGTTTAGGGTAAACCTAGGGCTGACCGGGCCTCTAGACAGGATTGGGCCTTGTTGGCCGGTTTTCCCATTTGGCATGGGTGGACACGTGGCGTGTCTCGATTGGTCCGTAGAGGACGTATCTGTGATTGACACGTGGCAGGCTCCTATTGGCCTTCGTGAAGGACACGTGGCGGAACCTGGTTGGTCCACTTGTCAGACGGTGATTGGTGGATAAAAATCCCCTAATCATTTGCCCCTCACAGGTGGCACGTGACTGGTCACGTGTCGCCTGTGACAGGTGTCGCACGGTGACAGGCGACGGCCTGCTACAGGTGTCACCTTGCAAACGGCCGAGAGATTTTCCCGCCCAAATTTTGAATTTGGAAGCGACCCTTCGCCTTCTCACTTTGCCTATATAAGGAAGTGCTGACTTCGGTCATTTTCACATTTGAGAACTTTGCGAGAACATTCGGACCCCTGAACTTGCTCTGACATTTCGGACCTTTTCTGCCTACCGCCTGTTCTGACAAGCCGACTGCACCGGATTTCCAGAACTTCATCAACCGTCACTCGTTCAGGTAACTCAGTTCTCTTACTCTTAATTTTCTTTTTATTTTTTGAAATGGCACCACGGAAGCACACGACACGACCTAAGTTAGTGATCAGCCGGTCACCGGGGACGGCTGAATCTAGGACTAGGAGTGCCGCCTGCCCTTTTCTGGACCCATCTTTGCCCTTTATACAAAGTCCGACTGTATCTGTGTCTATGCAGAACGTGATGGCCAGAACAAAAAAGACTGCTATGATATCAAACTCAGACGGCTCCTCCCAAAGGGTGCTCATTAGTGAAACATCTGACCAGGCGCCAGATGTAGAATTGAAACGAGGCGGCTGCCAAGCCGACAGTTCTGAGAGAGGGGCCAAGGTGGTCCCTTCCCATCTTACCGTTGATATGTCTAATTTTCCTCCTGCTCCTTCTAAGGGAGAGGAGGCGGGCCCCTCTGGGAGAGGGGAGGAGTCGTCCTCTTCGGACTCGTCAGAGGACGAGTCCGAGTCCAGCTCTTCTGGCCACAGTTCTCCAGGCTCAGAAGAAAGACATAGCCGCCTACAAGAGGCGAGACTTTCTCATGCAGTTGAGAAGGGGGACAATTGGGCGGAGCCGTCCGCCTCTTACAGAGAGGAAAACGCCCCCTACTACTGCATGGTACCCCGGGGCCGGATCGCTACCATGCAAGACAACGTGGCGAGCTTTATTGCCAACCACAGAATGGGCCCGGAATTTTTACTGTTCGTGCCGGATCCAGAAGACACTGTCGTCTGGCCGGCTGGTACTAGCTACGGTGACGGCTGCTTTGGCTGCTATGTGGCGGCCATCAAAGCTGGACTGCGCTTCCCATTACATCCGGCTGTTCAGCGGATTTTAGATGGGTATGATCTGGGGTTATGGCAGTTAGCCCCCAACTCTTGGGTAAACGTACTCGGCTATGTGGCCGGGTGCGAAATGTACGGGGTGGAGCCAAGCTTTGAGGCTTTCGCCCACATGAACTATCTCAGCCGGACCCCTAAGTCGGGAGGTACCGGCTGGTACCAATTAACAAGCCATAGGGGTTACCTCATGACGAGAGGTAAGGCGAACAAATGGAAGGATTGGCGGAACACCTTCCTTATCATTGAGGGTTCAGACACGGAGCTGAACCAACGTTTTAACAAGTGGAATAGGGATCCGCCTCTTCTCGCAGGCGGCCGCAGCATGCCGCCTGTTCCCCCAAAGGCTAAAAGAGAGATCCTAGACAAAGGACTCTTCAAAGTAGAGACTAGGGTGAACTCTACTTCAGGGGTACGAGAGCAAGTACCCCTAAATTGCGTCCCGAGCTTCAAGTGGCTCTATGACGAGTACTTTTTGGCCGCCTGTGGCCTCAGCAGTCGGTGCTCTAGAGGTAGCCGGCCTGACAAATACTCTGTTTTTTTCACGCCTTGTTTACTTGGGATCTTTACTAACTTTGCTGTTTATTTTTTGCAGCTGACGCCATGAGTAAAATAACAGCATCCAAGACTGCGGCGGCCATGTTGCGGGCCTCTCTCATGCAACAGTCTTGTGCCGACTCCCCCAACAAGGGGGCACCCTTGGTAAGCTTCGAAAACTCTTCCTCTTTTAGGAGTTGTCTTATGCATATACTAACTCTTTTTGTTTTCAGTCTGGCACTCCAAGAGCTTCTTCCTCGCAACAGCCGGACCCCAAGGCCCGGAGGACGACTGTTGCAAGCTCTCCTGGGTCTTCCAGGAAAACAGTGGCGGCTGAGAAGCAGCCGGCCACTTCTTCTAAAACCCCGGCGGGGCCGCCTAGAAGTATGGACAATCACTTGTAAAAACTTTCACACTTGCTTCCTTCTTGACTAGGTCTAACTTGCTTTTTTTACGCTTGATGTAGCCGGCCCTCAGGGGCTTGACTTGGTTGAGGTAGCCAAGTCCATGATCAAAGTAGTTCCTCCATCTGAAAGGGAGGCGGTCAGGGGTGCCGGCACCCTTGACCTTGATGGGATTGCAGGGGTCCTTGCTGAGGTATACTTAGCATATTTTTGAGTATTTGAGTTCCAGGACGCCTGTTATCTTTTTTGTTTGGAAACTGACGCCTGTTTTTTTTTTGTACTTAGGCCCTGCTCCGAGTTAACAGCCTTCGCAAGCCAATTGATCGGAAAAAACAAAGAGGTAAAGGCCGCAAAAGCTATGGCCGCCTCCAACTGTGATAAGGCAATGTTTCAAATTGCCCAAAATGAAGTACTGACCATTGATATTCTTTATTATCAGGCGCAGGCTACCGCCGCTGTTCGGGCTCAGTTAGAGGCGGCCCAGAAGAAGAATGACGAGCTGGAGGCGACCGTCACAAATCTTAAGGCCGAGCTGAAACCTCTTCGCCAAAAAATGCACTCTTACGAAGCCATGGAGAAATCTTTGGCCAACGTAAAAGAACGCCTGGTGAGCCAAGAGAAGAGTCTTACCCAAGAGCTCTCGGAAAAGGCCGAGCAAGAGAAGAAAGAGCTCGTCCGGGAGATGGTGGAAGACTCCGCTCAAATCCAGCGCATGACCTGGGGCCGCCTGTTCCCCAATGCCGACTTTGCCTCATGGGAAAGAACGTACCGCCAGTGTTCGGAAACATATAATCAAGAGATCCTGGCGGCTGCTGAAGAAGAGGCGTTGGGAGATACGTTGAAGGAGGAGGAAGAGCCGGTTGTGGCGCTTGTGCCACTTGGGGGTAAGGCATCAAAAGAGGGTGCAGCTGAAGCCGAGTCCAGCAAGAAGAGTGCTGACCAGGCGGCAGCTGCTAATACTGAACTGCCCCCTTCTTAAGCTTAAAGTATTTTTTTTTCCACGGCCTGCGTGCCGTTTGCTTTGTATTTACCTGGCCAGGGGGCCGGGGCTTTGAATATTCTGCTGGTCTTTAATGACCGGCTTATTTTTAATCAAATTTTTGTTTTGATTCAAATTTGTCTAAGTATTCCATATCTAATATCCCATTGTTCACTAGACCGACTGTTGTACATGGCCGAACGTTGCAGACAGGTACAAATAGTAAGTACGCCGCCTATGCCCCTGGACGACTAGTTGTCTGTTTCCAGGATAGACGATCAGTCGGCCATTTATTCAATCGGTATTCGAACTATTTATTCAATCGGTCTGACCAAGTAAATAGTATTACCTAGTCGCCAAGGAATTAAGTAGGATAACAAGCGGCGGGTACCGGTTGTTTCCCTTTATTGCCAATGTTGGCTTTTAACTCGTAATTTGTTAACCTAGCAAGAGTAGTGGTTGAGAGCCCCTGTTTATTAAAAACAGGCGGACGACTCATACCTTTTAGGCTCCATACTAAGTTTGAGTGACTATTAAGTTAACATAGGAGTTACTTAGTCTTCGTCACAATCTAGATTGAGTAGTAGAGGTACCAGGCGGCGTAGGCCGGCTAGACCCCTTGATTCGCCAATGTTTGTTGGCTATTAACTCAATAGGTACCCCCTGCATTTATCCCAAGTAATACAGGCGGTCATCTGACTCAGATGTCAACTGCTACCACTGGTTTGGTTAGTGATAGAGTTATCCTTGTCTCAAAAACGGCTACGTGGTTGCCCTTGGGGACAGTCGTATAGGTGCCGTGTAATTAGTTTATAGAACAATGTTCCACCCAAAAGGGAGCTGCTCTCTGCGACGAATTTCATCCGGAGGGATGCCGTCGGACGCCTGCTATGATGTTGGGACAGGTCGTATTAGTTTTGTAGATTTGATCAGGTGGCTTGGCGCCTGGTCTGATCATTCGGCCGGTGGCCTTGGTAAGTTCTTGGTGAACGTAGGTGCTAAGTAAAAGAAGGGTAGCCGCCTGTTAGACACAGGGTCGGCCAGGCCCTAATCTTTTTAGCTAAGTATTGTGAGTAAAATACTCAATGGAGAGTAGCCGACTGTAAAGGTACAGAC